TTAAAAGTCCTATATTATGCAAAATTGGCTCTTGTGATGATATTGTTACCTCATCAAAATCATGAGTTGTCTTGCATTTGCACATGTTTGAGTAATTTTTTATTATTAATCTGTTAACATCTCCACAGCTCAAAATGTTCTGTTCCACCTTGTGATCTCATGAAGCGGTAGTTTTCAAGTTAACAGCTCCTTTTACCTTTTGTTCAGCAGATATTACCAACACCAGAGCTGAAATTATTCAAATGATTCTAGTGAAGGTGCATAAAGTTTAAAAACACTGCAGAGCTTTTCTTGTATTACCACATGACATCACAAGGTTTTTAGTTAGACAGAATCCTGCTCAAATATGCAGGACTGTGTGTTTTAAACATGTGTAAATGAAACAAAACACAACTTTCGGTATGTTTCTGAGGAGAAATCAACTCTATAACAGATCACAAAATAGAGTAATATGGGCTCTTTAAACTTGATCTACTGCACATGAAAGACATTTAGTGTTTATTATGTTGGGAGTAATATTGACTGACAATTGTTGTATATTATAATCTCATAATAGTTTGACAATATTGCTGTTACAGAAGGTTTACAGGCCTTTCCTATTGATTTTATATTGCACTGCCAGTATATTCACATGACATAATAAACAGACATCCACTCACTCGCACACATTACATGTAATCTGGAGTCCATCCACACCCAAGAATAGAAAGGCTTATGGTCACAGATTAGTAACTGTGTAGCTTTAGTTAATGTGGGAGAGCTACATATAATTAGGCCCATGCCTTTGGTCTATGAAGTTCTTTAAGAAGCACAATAGACTACATTGATTAACCTAAATGCATTGTGTAAGTTTGTTTCTTGAAGCACAGACAGAAAACAGATTTAAAGGTATTGTCTTGTCAGCAGGCCTTTATCGTCAGGGGGTTCTGAGACAATGCTATTAGCCGACAGGGCCATAAGGCTTTGTGTAAGTTGGTTTAAGAGGTTGGTATTAACAAACTTAACCCAGAGAACAAAGACCTCTGGGAGACTATTGTTGCAGTTGTATGTGGACTAAAGTACTGTAAAGGTATAGTATAAGTAATGTATAGTAAAAGTATATAACCTTTTAATGGTGGGGAGCACTTTCCCCTTTTTCAGATAATTTTAAACTAAATAATGGACATTTCTGTTGATTTTAAAGGACAGAACAAATTATTTAACTATTATTATTTAGAATACTTTTGTCAGCAAGCAAACTCTATGTGCCTTACAATATTATATATCAATGTCTAACCCTGGTCTGTGTTTGCAACATTTTTATTTACACATTTATTTACACATACAACATATTTAACCTTTTCAATACTTTTTTCTTTGTTAACTTCACATTTATTGCTTCTATACTTTTCCTTTTGTTGTATAACATTACTGCAATTATACTTCAATCAGGGGAGGTTACATGGCTATTTAAATTATATGTCAACTGGAAAAAATGCTATGAAAATAAAGCAACCACAATACATAAGCATAACAAACGCTGTCATCACCTCTGATAATGTTTGTACTACATTATCTACAGCAGTTCAAATCTCTCACACTTTCTCTCACTTTCTCTCTCTATCTCTCGTTCATGGTCTGCCTAGGCCCATGTTGCTGTCAATAGCCTCCCTGTTTAGTCTCCACAGTCACATGGCTGTATCAAATCAGATGTGTATGACTGTCGCTTTGATTTTTCCACTCGTGTGTGTGTTGGCTGCAGCGTCATCTCCACCGTCCTCTCTGCATTCTGTTAGGCCAAATGTAAAGCATGAAGCTCCAGCTTTGCCCAAGGCCTGTTATCGCTATTGGACTGTTTGACTGTGTGACACTGGTATAGGGATAATGTTGTGTGTGTGATTTTTTTTTTTTTTTTGGCAGCCATGATTTACTGCACTAGAGATGTCCTGCTGTGTCACCCAAACTAACCTCCAGTTCATAAAATGCACAGTGAAGAGCGAGAGAGAGAGGGGGCAGTGGGGTAGTAACAGTACAGTGCCCTAATTGGAGTTGATTGGATTTTGTTGTTGTGTTTGCTCAAGCCAGAGCACATCACCTGAGTGTCACAGCTAACTTATGTTAATGTATTTACAAAGTCATGCTTTTATGTTTTGTAATATGTAAGACGCTGTCCTTTACCAAGTCAGTCTTTAATAAATCTAATCTAAAATCATATGACTCAATACAATTTTTTCTGGCAAAAACAATAGTAGTCTACATTCTAAAAATACTGTTTTATAGTTATTCATTGTGTAGGATAAAGCATTAGCCCATACAATGAAGAGATGAATTTGTAACAATCTGGTTGACTGTATTAGTAATAGTATTACTATCAGCGTCACTATTTTTGAACTTAACTCAACGTAACTTAACCTTTAAAGGGATAGTCTGGAATTTAGGACATGGAACCTTCATTTCCTAGTTTGCCAGAGTGTTTTTAAATATTCCATCCGGTCCTTGTATTTGCAGAGGTCACTAGCATTAGGCTAGTGCATGTCAATGGCCATAGTTAGCCTGCCACTAAAACCGATCTTACTCACTCCACAAAGCACCAGACTGTCAATGTGAATGTCTATGTCAACAGAATAATTTAAAAGGTAAACCAACCAGCGAGTTGCACTTCCTGATACAAAGCTTGGCAGCAGTGGACTGATATCACCTAGCACCTATTTTACCGGCAAAGTAAAATTCTGCTGCTGCTGAGAAAATAGTCCCTCAACATGCGATGCAAGGTTAGTTTTATTTCAAACAATATTCTATCAACACAGACATTCACATTGATAGTCTGGCATTATAATAGATTTGCTTCGGGTGTTTTGTGGAGTGGGTAAGACTGTTCTAGGAGCAGGCAAACTGTGGCCATTGGCATGCACTAGCCTAGCAGCAGTGACCTCTGCAAATAAAGTGTCTCCACACATCTTCAACACTCTGGCTAGCTAGGAAATGAAGCCCTATGTCCAAAATTCTGGGCTGTCCCTTTAAAACTTGAACCCCAATCTGGTATTTTCTTGAAATACAGTCCATAAGAGGCTTGGGTTGTTTGAAATGTCCACCCCTGTATGTGGAGCTTGAGGTTGACTTAAACCATTGCACATGTAGATTCGTATGAGCATGTGTTCCCACTAAATGACCCATGTTCTCTGTGATGTTCCCTTGTTATGTTCAACCCTGGGGTCACACAGCACAATGAAACCACATGAAGACTTCCTTGTTGCACAGTTAATGGACTACATGCATGTGGCAAATGATGACCTTTGACCTGTCCCTGGCATGCGACTCTATGGGGTGTGTGTGTGTGTTTCTGTCCCCAAATTGAATAATGAACAAATCTCTGCCATGTCAATGATGTCACTGCACTGTTACTTCCTATGACCTCATCACCGATTACACACTGTACATCAGAGAGAGGGAGTGGTGAGAGGCAGGCCACTGTGGTGTGCAAGTTTAAAAATGAACCTCGGCTGTACTCTGAAGAAAAAAATAATAAATGTAGTCCAAAAAAATGATAAGACATCACTTTATGAATTGAAACCTGCTGTGCTTATAATAACAATTTACTTTTCAGTTGCCATTGCCCCATTGCCAAGGATATACGCATTGGGCTAAGCAGGGTTGGTTCTGGTTAGTACTTGGTGGTGGTCGAAGAGGCCAGTGGGGAAGACTGGAAGCCTTTTCTTACATCAGTCTATCACCAGTCTACCTGAGTATGGAGTGAATAAATAATGTACCAAATTATTATGTGACAGACAAGTGCTAACATCTTATAATAAAAGCAAGAACTGACATGGCTGCACTATTTTGGCAGGGAAGAACTGGTAAAGGTATGTAATTACAGAGTTGTAAATCTGCCTGTAACTTTATCAGCATTAAATCTCTGCAAATCAAGTGATGAGAACAAAAAGTTAGCAATATTTCATGTTTCTTCTTGACGCGTGGACAGGATAATCTCATTAGTATTGTCTGCCTGTGCAAACACAAGACCATCCACGTAAAAGAAGTAACAAAATGCACGCTTTTTTTTTTATAGTCACATAAATGCACCTTTATGAGCCCCACGCCCTACCACACAGGAATGTCCCACTCTGACAGGGTTCACTGTTCAGTGTTTGGTGCTCAAGGCTGTTCACTCTTTGAGGCCAATCTTGAGTAAAACGTTGGTCTAAGGTAAGGCTAGATTAAAGGGCGCCTGTTACGCTCTTTTCTGATCTGTTACAATGTTGTTTCCTCAGCAAAAAACATACCTGGGGTTGTGTTTTGTTTCATTCACACATGTTTAAGACAGAAATCCTGCCTATTTAATCTTCTCTCAAATGGAAAACACTCTGTTCCACCGTGTGATGTCATGTGGTAATACAGGAAATGCTCCACTGTGTTTTTAAACTCCATACACCTTCACTAGAATCATTTGGACCAATTCAGCCTATCTCTACTGAACTAAAAGTAAAAGGTAGCCTGAAAAGCACCATTACATGACATCACAAGGAAATCTGGAGATGCAGACAGACTAATAATGCTGGATTAATTAAATTTGTGAATGAAACAAAACACAACTCCACCTATGTTTTTGACGAGGAAACAGCTTCATAACACACGCACAAGAGGTATTTTGTGTGGTATGAGACCCTTAAAAATGGTGTGCCAGTGTTTTTTCAATGAAGCATATCCAGCAACAGACCAGATAGCTTTCTTGCTTATACTAGGCCTCAGAATAGGAAGTAAGCCCCTGCAGTTAGAGCACGTGCCTAATTATCTCTATACCAGACGCACAGAAGCTCCTTAGGTGAATTGCATTAAGTGACAGAGAGCTTGAACCACTGTCTGGGTGTGCTGACTGGAACTGCTCTGAACGAATAAGAAATAATACATGAAACATCTTGTGAACAACTTTATCCGCTGTTGGTTATGTTTGTAATAAGAATGGCTTGTCCAAACTCTCATGTAATCCTATCCACGTGCGCTTACTTGTGATTTACTGTTCTTACCCTATTGTTCCTGTCAGTGGCCTTGACCTCCTCCTCTTTGACCCCGTGCCGTATCATTATGCGCACGATGGCCGCGTTGTTGGTGCAGCACGCCTGGAAGAACGACAGCGGCTCGGGGCTCTCCGGTGACGGCGTGCGCTCCGAGTCCGCGAACAGGTCATCTGGCGGGTAAAAGGAGTCATCCGAGGCGATGCTCCTACAGTCATCCAAGTCCTCAAAGTCCACCTCCTCAAAGTCTTCATCGTCGTCATCCTCCTCCTCGCAAGAGCCCAGATAGTCCTCATCGTTGGATAATGACTCCTCTGTGATTGTTGGGTGAATCTGAGTGACTTTACCCGGCACTTTTAGAAGATGGGGCTGATGCTGTGACTGATGCTTGAGCCGGACCGAGGGGATGCCTCCTCCATCCCTGTCGTCCGTGATCAGCACCATCTAACCCCCCAGACTTGGGCACTGTCCCCGGGGTACAGTGCAGCCGGGCGCGCAGCTCGTGGGCATGGGAAAGCAGAGCTGGCAAATGTCCGTTGGAAAGTGCGTAATTTCACATGGAAAGTCCAAAATAAGTCTGCTGGTCACTGCTTTTTAGTTTGTGGATGGTCTCTTATCGCGTCCTGTTGCTTACGCGTATCCATCTGTCATTTACGCACTTGAGTTGACGTTAACTTGTCCAACAGAGCGACGAACACAAATTGTAGGCTATATTCCACTCCTTCGTAATAAACACGACTCTGCAGAGATCCGAAAGCCAAAGCATATGCATCAAATTTAAAAACTGCACGCGCCTGAAGTGGAGTTATACCATTAAGCCGAGTAAAAGTGCTGCGTACACAAGCGTCCCATGTAGGGCGGAGAGACAGCACTGTGTTAACCTGTAGTCTCCTAATCCGATTAGGTCGGACTGGGACCTCTCTCTCTCCCTCTCTCTCCCTCTCTGTCCATAGGCTACTGATGTCAGATTAACTCCCCCCTGACTATGCTCTCACTGGATATAACCCTTCAATCTTTATAGGAGATTTATTTATTTAGATATATACAATATATGATATAACTGTAATATATTGCAGTTTTGCTCTAGTCCTGATATAACCCACAATGTTTTCCTAGACCATAATGACTAAATAGCCTGCATTAAAAATAGTGTCAAATGCAATCACATCCCATTTTACTGATCCATTTGTTTTACTAACTATATTTACATAGATAACATCAGTCATGACACTTTTCCTCAATTATTAATATCTCCACTTGCTGGCACTGGCTGTGGTGGAAAACGAGCTCAGGCAGTCCCAGTGTGTACCCATTATTATTATGGCTCCATCTACCCCCAGCTGAGAGCACTGACAGGACTCACTCCCCCTGGGGTCCTGTCTCTATGGTGCCAGGCTGCTGCTGTGTGGGGTCACTATGAGTTTGTATTTACACCTATAGTATACCACGGTTGAGAAAATGTTATTTGAAGGCAACTTCCCCAGATTCAGAACCACACTGAAAGTAAAAGCTTTAATCCAGATGTGAGCTGTTTCGCCTCCTGCTATCACAAATTAAATGAAATTACTCCAGCTTGGGTTGAGCACAAAAGTGGACTGTGCATGGTAATAGTAGACAGATACAGCCAACAAAATGCACAATGAATTGTTTGTCTTTATTTAAACATGTTTTGATATTAAAGACAAATCCTATACCATATGGAGTCACAAGCCAGTGTATAGCACGTGTCTTCTTGTGTAACTTCTATGTATGCCAAGACAAATTGGGATGGTTGGGTAACAGGTCCTTTTTTTTAAATTCAAGTTTTTATTTTATCTTGCAATTTTTAGAATAAGATAACAGACAGGAGCGCATTGCTTTGACATGACCATATATGGGCCAAAGGAATAACTTCACTAAAACTAAAGAATATCTTCTGAGAAACAACTCATACATATAGTGCATAACATACATATAATGAAGCACACACAATCAATAGCAAGAAACACAGTTTAGTCAAAATTAAGTCCCCAATATTTTTACTAAAATGTCTGCATTATCATTTATATCATTTACCACTAATGTCTCACATGAAACTGTTTTCAGCATATTGTCCATCCATCTGAGAAAGTCTGGAGGAGAAAGATCTTTCCACACTGTAAAATTACCAGTACTGCAGTTATCACCCCCACCTTTAAACCCACATACTCACATTTTTCTACACCTGGCATTACTGATTTATCCCTGAGTAAACAATCTTGGCAACCTGGGTTTTATTTTGCCAGTCCACATATCTATACACTCTAGTACCTTCTCCCAAAAGATATATACTTCAAAAGAGCATTCATAAAGGTTCCAGGAGCCAAGCGACATTTCCAGCAATTGTTATTCACCATGATCAGATAACAGGAATTTGAGAAAAAACACTTAAGACATAAGAAGGTTTATCCACACCTGGATATCTATGCACGTCCCTGCACGATAGGAGGCAAATTACGTGCTGGCAACCTCTCAAAAGAAAAAAAGAAATCATTACCGAGCACAATTTCCCCATTAAATTGTACTGAAAAAGTGGGTCACACCAAAATGTTCAAAATAACCTTACATATAAAAGCAACAGTAGCATTTCAAATAGGGCTTTACACTTGGAAAGTTATGTCCTCATCGTATAGCTACACTATGTTTCAGATGCCGTAAACTAGCCACAGAAAGAGTAGTTATATGCAGTAGTGGCCTAAACTTGTGCATACCTGCTGCAGTAGAGACACACAAAGGCCTCTTCTGAGTGCGCTCCTAGAAGTGCCGATGTGTTCAAACAAGTCAATGTTTATCTTTCAGTTTTCTCAAGGTTATCCCCGAAATGTTTACCCTAAAAGAGCTAACCCAAGCTGATTAAAAATAGCTTGATTAGACCTTATTAATCAGTGAATTATACCACCAAAGACATGACATAGGACAACAACAGCCGACAAGGAGCTCAAATTCAACAGGGCACAAGTGGTGATTTTAATCAGCCCGAAACAACTTTAATCAAGTTGTTTTTCTAATATGTACTGGTCTATGGGTCGTTTGACATGTTTGCAAATCACAAGGACACTGGATAAATACAGGGCTTTTAAAACAATACTGTTGAAGGACTTAGAAATTAAAACACACCCAAATATAAAAAGGCATACACAGTGCAGACATGATGCTGTACAAAATCATTAAGTTTCATTCATTGTAAAGGTTCATTAAGGTACACTAGTAGATGACCTTTTGAGAATATCTGATGTACTACTTGATGGAGAGTTCATGTCTTCTCGGTATATAAAATCCAAAGGCTTGATCATTCCATTCTGCAGATCTCTGAAAGAAATAAACACTTGGAATAATAATAATGATGGGAAAACATGGACGTCAATTGTTATCCTGTCTGACTTGCTCTAATTTGTTAAACTTTCATATTTAATAAAACAATCCACATAGTAGACATCTTGTTTATTTTATTCCCCCATGAGTGATTTCCCTGAATGTTTCGCAATTTTTGGCACCCTGAATGCTTGGGTTACTAAAATTTATACTTCTACTTTCACTTGTACACGTAAGTCGTGAACGAGACATACCAATATTATCAATTTATTAACACTTTTAAAGATAGTATATTACTTTACATTGCAAACAATTTCTCGTGGTTACATACTATATGCTTTCTGTATGTCTGTTTTCTGCTCCATGGTAATACCCAGAGTGTACCCTGCTCTGTGCCTCCCATCCATAGATTGTATATAAATGGGCACAGCTAACCTGCTAGCAGCCGCAATCCAAATAGGAAGTGACCATGGGGGCACTCCGGCTCCATCAACTCCAATTGTCACTCCTCTCTCTGTAATTGCTGCAGTGAGTCTCTTCATTTGGGTCTTAAAATGTTTGTATTAATCCACTCTACATGATCCTCACGTTTTTATTTAGCTGTTTTGACCATAATTAAATTCTTCTTCCTAAAATGGAACTCGGCTCCAAATTCACCCCTATAACTGATAGCCTTGTGAGCTTCATTTGACATTTGAACGCCCTGGGTGACGTCACACTCCCTTAGTCCACTTCTTTACACAGTCTATGCTCCCATCCTTACCCTGGCATGAGTTCACAGTGGACGCACAGATGAAGAGCCTAAGCTGGGGCCTGTCTGTCTGCTCCTGTCTCCTTCACACTGCGCTGCCACATTTGTCATTGCCCTGGAGATCTGACTGGAGATCTGAGGTTATGGACAGTTTGGAGAAACAGCAGAGGTTGCGCAACAAGGTCAAGACCAGCGCGAGGCCTTTGCGATGACATCACTTTTCAAAATAAATCAAAGAGACAACAAGCAGAAAGTTATCCAAACATGTGTTCAGCTGAAGCCCTCAGACCAAATAAATATGTGTAAATGCTTCATAAGGACTGGGAGCTGTATACAGTTAAAGGATGCCTGACACTTGATTAAATGTAGAGCGCAGAAGAATATAGTCTAGACTTCAGCTTATTAAAGATAACATTTATATTTATGTATGCAGTGAGAGACTTTCCATAGCTGCAAGAAAACTGTCAACGTATTTTTCTCATTAGATGCAATGTAAACACAGTTGATGAATTTTTTATCTTGCTTGTATTTTGATGACTGAAATTTCCCAATCAACTGCCTAAAGTAACCTAGTGTGCAGTGTTTTGTGTCTCTTATTAACTTTATTACATATTAAGTATAAAACCATGACCTAAGACTCATCGGGTATCTGGGCATAGACGTGACCCTAACAAAACTGCTACTAATTTGTGACTGGATAATTCGATTCCTACATATTGCCTAAAGGTATCCCTACATCATTTAGAGACTGAAATTTCAGAAAGACAATTATTATTAAAGGGCCTTATTATTGTTTGTTCTCTGTGATAATGTTTCCTCATCACAAACATACCTGGAGTTGTGTTGTGTTTCATTCATTCATTAATGTTTAGCACAAAAACCCTGCATATTTAGGCTGAGTTCTTCTCTCAAACAGAAAACACTCTGTTCCACCTTTGATGTCATGTGGTAATACTGTGCTCCATATACCTTGGCAAGGCAAGGCAAGTTTATTTGTATAGTACAATTCGTACACAAGGTAATTCAAAGTGCTTCTTGTACCTTCACCAGAATCATTCAGAAGGAACTTAACTTGAAAGCTACCACTGGTGGAACAGAGCATTCTGAGATTTGGAAATATAAACAGATAATAAAGGGTCACTCGTGTGAATGAAACAAAACACAACTGCAGGTAGGTTTTGAGGAGGTAACAACATTAAACATGGCTAAAAGCTCATGAGAGTCAGTTTTGTGTAATATAGGACCTTTAATATTAATTATCATGTGAACAAGCCTATATTATCACCCATGCTTGAAATTATTGTATTGTGATCAAAATGTATCCTTATTGTTCTGCAAAGCACTTTGAGTTACTTTGCTTATGAACTTCACAGGAAAGCTGGAATAAAGTAAAAAAAAAAAAAAAAAAAAAAGTCCCATATATCCTAAAAGAAGCTGATGTGGACTGTGAGTTAACTGTAACAGAGTTTATAACATGTTGAACTGTTTAAGTTGTTTTGCAGTGCACGAGGGACTCGCTCCAGGTTTAAGGCCTTACAGAATTCCTCCTCCTCTGTGTCATTTGGGTGGAGAGCCCAAAGTTATCACACTATCTGGAACTGTATCTGTACTGTCCCCTGGACTTTACCACTGCTGTGATTCTGAAGCAAAATTTGTGTGAGTGAATCCTCCCACCCCATTCAATCTGTCAAAAATCTGAATTGTTGCCATAATGTTATATTCATTTTGCTAAAACAATTGTCTTGTTTAGAGAGTTTTTATTTAAAATGCCAAAATTCATTGTAGTTTTAATACTGTTGGTCAATTCTCTCTCTTACTTTATATCACTATCTATGGATTCAGTTTATTCATCCTAATTAAATATGTATTAAATATGTATTAAATATCAGTACCAGTATTAGACTGCATGATAAGTACTATTATTTTTGTTGAAAATGAATATGTCTGTTGTTTAAAAAGAGCTTTTTTCATTCCTTAGTCAATTCCTTAGTCTTGAAATCAAATTTGAAAATGTAGTATTGCGACAAGACTACAAATAGTGAAAAACATATTATTCTCTGTCAGTGATTGTCACTTATTAAGCCCTGCAACCAACAGTGTGCTGCAGGATGCACTATGTCCTTAATAAGTGAAATAGTGTAATAGGCATCTTGGAGCAGTGCTGTTAAACTAACGAGCAAACCAAAACACTCACACACAGAACATTGTGCAGCATGAACAAAACACAAGAGGTTTAACTATTCACCAAGACCAAAATAAAGAAATAAAAAAATGCTGTCCTTACACACCAAGACACTTCTACCTCCCTCCTCTTTTTGCGTTTCTGTGTGCCAGGCTGAATAAATACAGGAGTAGAGAAGCCAAACACAGAGGCTGCTAGCTGATAGGCTGTGTGTATGATAAATGAACTTTAGCTAACCCGGGCAGAAAGGAGCAGGCAATAAAAGCCATTCTCCTGCTCCTGCCTGACAGTCTGTGCAAAACCTGCTTTGTGCTTCTCTTGCTGCTCATTAAAGATTGCAACCTGCCTCAAAACAGCGAGTCCGTCAAACTAACAAACACGAACACCAACTGTGATGTCCTAAGCAATTAAGGACTTCAACTATATTGGGGAAAATAAGTTATATTTAAACACTATTGTAAACCATTTATTTATAGGCTTTTTTTCCACACAGTTCTTCTTTCCTATCCTCACTTCCTGTAAGGTAGAAATTGGAGACCTGAATCATGTCATCTTGCTTGTTGCTGTCAAATAGAGAAATTAATTTATCAGTTCATAATACTATAAAGTGGGACCCAATATACCACACCATTGCTGGCCATAAGGTCTTGAAAACTATTGAAAAGCCTCAGAATGGTAGGTCTATTTGTTTGTTTTGCTGTAATAATAACAGTGCTTTTCCACAATGCTATTATTTTCTGTACATAAATACATATAAAAGCATGTGACATATTGCTGTGTTTCCATTGTGGCTATACATTGTAATAGAGACGACGGGCATATATATATGTATATACCGTGTTAATATGCAGCTTTATGAACTATAGTAAGCTCAAAGACCTTGTCAAGTTAACAACAGTGAAGTCTTTTCCTCTTTGTGTCAGATGTTTTTGCCAGGTCATATTTAGTGTAGTGCTTAATTGAGAATGAAATGGCACTTACATAACAGGTTGTAGACTGTTAACGAAGCTGTCTATTTGCTCTTTTGTTAAATCTCCGTCCACATTAGCCAGGTAGGTGTAGAGTCGCAGAAAGACACTGAAGGGGATCCGAGCAGGGCCTCCTTCTTCATCCTCAGTCAAGATTTCACAAGCAATTTTCAGGGAAGACATCAGTGTCTGTGCACCCCAAGACAATAAAATAAAGCTTCCTTAATTTATGTATATTGTCTATAAAATACATTAAATTAAATAATGAAAATGTATCCTTGTCCTAATCCTAATTTGATCTGAGGCTTGTCATTAAATGTGATTTGAAAATTGAACACATTTCACAACTGATTTGAATGTCAGTAAAAATTCTATGAGAACTAACAGGAAGGTGAAAAAATAATAGCCCAGACTAAGAACATGACTGCCCTCATGTGGCCATGTGCAACACTAAACAGCTGTATGCAGCCGCTAACATGCCACCACCTCTTGTAGATGAATAAGTAGGCTTTGCACAGCACAGCATTGCTTAGACGGAAATTGTGACATTAGAATACAAAAAACAAAAACGAAAAGGAAAACATACCATGCCCAGAGCACTACAACCCAGTGCAAAAAACTCCATCCAGACAATATCTGAGTTGAAGTTGCCCAGGGTCAGTAGGGTCTGCAGCTGCTCCATGGGCAGACACAGACCCTTCCATTTGTCTTGGAGATCCTTCAGTGAACACGTTTCACTGGATCCTAGCTGAGAAGTATGTGCAATAGAGAGACAAATGCAGAGACAAATAAATCTAATCATTTGTAAAAACACAGGGGACAACACAAGTTCACAAAGATACAGCTATATTTTTTACCTGTCTGTGTAGAGTCTTGAGTAAACCCTGTGTAAGTCCAGTGTCAGTCTTCTGAGTGGCGACATTCAATTCCAGTCTTTCCTTCACGGGCAAGGCCTCTCCTTTCGACAGGGCAGCAAAGTATCTGTTAAAAACAACGAGGTACTCAGATGCCGTTTTCTGACCTTACTCGATTACTTAGCTAATTCATGATCAAATTAATTTGATTAATGTTACTGCAAATAAATGAATAAATGAGTAATAAATAAATAAATAAAAACTAGTTCTCTAAGGGGCTACTCACGCTGCAGACCAAACAAGAATATCTTTTGGCTGAGTCCTGATGGCTGCCTTGGAGAAGTCTTTTAGGATATCTGCAAGCTCTGGAGGGACGTTGATTTGCTGAGAGCAATACATTGTGTCTGGAAGAGGCATAGCTAAAACATAGTGAAGAGAAACTCAATAACACAAACACCTCCACAAATACATTTAAATGCAAGAAATAGTAAGTGTAAACAGTTGCTTTACCATAGGAATCCGGTGTAAAAATTATTCGTCAATAAACTCAAAAGCAGCAGCAACATAAGGATAATATTTAGCGTTACGTTAGACTTTTGTTTATGACCACCCGCTCCGTCGCCTGGCAACAAGTCCTTCTTCACAACCTCCAAATATCTAACTCACCAGCGCCCCCTATGTACGACCATTACCTGTAAGCAAATTGATTGGAATATGGCTACATCGCGTCTGAGAACACAAGATAGTCCATGTTTATGAAATGTATAATCAAACTCCTAAATACTACTAATTTAAGAGGCAAAACCACAGACTTTATTAACACACATACATGTTTGCTGCAGTTACAAAATAGGATGACAACTGAAAAATACATTTTAAGAAAAATGTGATCTTTGACCACAGCAAATGGCCAAAGAAACCAGACAGACACATCGTAGACCTATTGGTGCAGTGCACACAAGCAATCTCATTTACATACACTGGTAAGTGCAATGTTGATTTGACATATGTAAAATTAGAGCAGAGCAAGTTGAATCTTGAGGAAATCCCTTTGAGATTTTACTGAACATCTAGTTAGACCTGTGAGACATTTACCCAAGTATACATGGACAACATTAAGTGACAAAAAAATCTTAAACAATTCAGTTATGAAGAACATACTTACATAGAATATTTGGACTACTTTGTTTTTTTAACCACCCCTGGTCGCTTCTACTTTAGTAACAAAAATAAAAATGTTTCCTTGCCCTAAAACCACCATCAACATGTTTGAAAGAAAACCTGGGGTGAGAAATGCTCCTCAGAGCCACATAGACGATTTCATCAGTGTTATTTCCCTTGAACAGAACCTTTCCCTGGACTAAACAAGTTTAGGATTCAAGTACACTTTGGGGAATTGTTACAAAATAGAATAATCTGCACTATTGCACTTCCCACTTCACACGAGTATAGCATTTTTACCATATCAGTTACGTAATGTAATCAAGTATCTAATGCTTGGACCAAATGGCATTTTATTATGCAAACAGTCAAAAATATCAAAAATATTACTTCCAGTTAATTGAATAGATTTTTTAAGAAATGACAAATATGAAGGGGTAGCACATTAGTATGAAATTTGTTTTTTTGTGGACTGAATATTATTGAACGACAATTTCTATAATGTCTATATGTCAAACACTTCCAATGAGATGGCATGATGTCTTTAAAACATTTGCCATGTTATAAAGGTATTAAATGCTTTGGCAAGCCAAGCTTTATCCACAATAATCCAAGGCGTAGCTGGTTACTCAAAGGATTAAATTTGTGGTTTCTATCTCTTGCCCCTTTTATTTCCAGGAGGAGGTTTCTTGAGCTGGAGCATAGGGCCGCCTGTGCCAAAGGCAGTGGTAGGTTGGTTGGACACACCAAATGTCAGGCCCGCGGAGGGATTGAGACCAGGATTACTGAAGTTAAAGCCTGTGCTGCTGCTGCCAAAACCTACAGAGGGAAGAATGGTACACAAATTAACACCAGAAAATACAACATTCTGTAAATAAAGAGAAACGTCAATGTCTGCTCTACAGCTGTACTAACTTAGTTCTAATCTTAAAGTTAGCAATTCAAAACTTGCAAAGGAGCATAATTAAGGAGGAGTCTAATATGAGGTGAATGCAAGAGACACATTATTGTGTACCTGCACTCAGACTGCCTCCTGTGGGTTTACTGGCCGAGAAGGAAAAAGAAGAGCCCCCAGACCCCACCCCACCAAATCCTGGCCCACCACCAAAACCTGTGAATGAGAGCGAGACAGTGTTTAGACTGTTTGTGCTTGATGAAAGGAAAATGAGCCTAATATTTAATCTGCATCAACCAATACCACACCACCACAAAAGCACCAAAAACAAAGGGTCACAAAACAAAGCATTACAGGGCACAGAGAGGCAAAGCTGAAGGAATCACAGACCAACCACATCAACACTAAACACTCACTGACCCTGAACTCTAAGGTGCAACTATTACACTATTTAAGTGCATACTAAGTAGGGACACGGTGTGAACAGTGACTGGAAAGCAGCAAGGTTGTAGACGTCACGTACCGTCTTTAACACCCACCTTACTATTTCTAGCAAGAGAAAATAAAAACCTCCCAAAAAAGAAAAACCACAGAATGAGGGAAAGGGCTTAAGTCACAGAAAAGTGTAGTTATACCTCCCAGGGTGGAGGAGCCCAAGCTAGTGCCCACTGCTGAGGCAAACGGGTTTCCAAACCCTGCCCCCAACGTGGCCTGGGTTCCTAAGGCACAAAAGAGTTTGCTTTACTCCTCTCAATGGAAAAACTGAAAAAATTATCTTGAAATGGGCCTGGTATACTATATGTATGTGTATATATATATTTCTGGAGAAATTTACAATTTAAAAGCAGTGCTAGTTCACCCACTCAGAAACTTGTCTTCAATTGAGTTAAACTAAACTTTCTTCTTGCTGTCATTATTAAATTTCAATGACACAAGGACAAAGTATATTTGTTCAAAATTAATTTATTGTCAATTGAATAGGCAATATCACTTACATAAAACATATACAAACACACAAAGGAAAGCTACTTTGTTTGACAAGTTTCTCATGTCTTTGAGTGAATGAACTAGCATACGCCAAAGAATGCATCACACAATTACTGAATATTGCTTAAAAGGCACACCATATTAAATATGAAATACTTGGTTAACAGGCATTGGTTATATAAGTTCAAACACACTCACTACAATAAAAGCACTCTGGTTTAAGTTAGAAGTGAGCAGGTTGCTCACAATCATGTACAATCATTAACAAAAGGTGATAACATTTCTTGGCACTTATAGCACTTCCGTTGTGTGGCCCATTGTAAACTTATTAGTGATAGCACTCTTCCAGTGTGTAGTGGAAAGATTCTAAAACATACATTATTAGAAAGCCCTACAGAAGGTGAAATAATACTCTGTACCCTTTGAGCTTCTAAAACATTAGAAACATTAAAACAGCCAAGCATTCCAGAAGAGTAACTGCACAAACACTGTATTGTACATTTTTTTTTCCAGGTTCAAAAGCTGTGCTTGTCAGTTTATTTGTTTTGTTTTTTTTTTGTTTCTGTTTTATTACCCCTGACAAATTGTGAAATATTTTTCCCAATTTTACAATAATTTTGGGCTTGACTGAATACAAAAAAAAACACTCCAAGGAAAATACAGTTATCACGTATGGTCTAGAAACTCTTTCAGTACGTTAAAACACTGAATATCTGATTAAGAGTATAAAGTAATACTGCATTTTTAACCTTCAGTTTTTACAGTAAGATAAATAAAGAATTTTGTTCAAAAACAAATTCATAAAATATATCAATAAATAATGGCAAAGCAGGTGGCTTGCCCTTTTGGCACCATGTTTCAGATTGTAGGTCTGGTCGTAGCAGCGACATTAACACTGGACTCAACGGCCATAGAGCCAATCAATAGTATTTGTTTTATTTGACACTTGTTCGTACAGTGGACACTGTCCACTATAATATGATATAATAGGTTTCAACAGCATTTAAGCCTTTCATAGTCAAAAGGTCTTTGTCCAGCCCTGTTACTGACAGTAGCCCTGAAGAAAAAGGCCAAACCCCTTCTGTGATGGGGCCTCAACTACAGTGATGATTTGAGGTGGGACGATATTAATTATCAGCAGCTTTGCTTTACAAAAAAAAAATGAAATAATTTGTTTCCACTTTAATAAAACAGCCTTTTGATGCCTTAGTTAGGCACATGAATAAATGCATAAATTACGCTTTTCGTAACAGCATGCTACACCATGAAATTAGCAACCATCAACTCACACATGGTGTAACAGTGTTCAACCCCATTGAGACAAAGGGCCATTTCTCTTGAAAACATCCAATTGATATGAGACATTTGAACTACTGGCACAAACAAATCAAGTATTTTACGATTTTGCCATGGCAACATAACTTTCCTGAACTTAAGAGTGAATGTAAATGTGGTGTTAATGCTACAATAATATACCCTTTCATATTACAAAGCTTTAAAAATATTGCTAGAAATACTAATTTTGTATCCAAAACTTACTTGAAGTTAGTACCTTAATTTGTCAATAATACATTAAAACTAGCATGGCAAAACTGTATGATATTGCCATTTTTCACTAAAGCTGGAATAAAATACAATTATAACCTATTCTGGCCATAGCAGCTGTAAATGGTTTCAGTTGAAGTGTAGAATGCATTTTAACATGTCTCATGGAGATAGATATATTTTTTTTTGTAGAGCATTTTGATTATTGTATGTGTGTAGCTATAAAGAAAAGATGCATTCTGCTTAAACTGACTGTAGTGGATGTGAAAAAATACAAATGGTTTGTACAACAAAATACAGTTTGATATGGCATTAATTACTAGTCATTTCCAAAATTCAATGAAATGACACTAAACAGAATTGCATTAAAATATTTATCTTCATATCCCAGAACACAATGACTTGTAGCTTAAAACTGGTGAAATGTAGAATCAAATGTTCTGTAGACATTCATTAAGGCCAGAAACATGATGATAGTTTAGGAAGTCTATGTTTTGAGTGTATAGTATTTGTATAGAGTAAGTATAGAAAGTATAGATTTGTGGTTTACCAAGACACCTTTCCCCTTCTAAAGCACTCTGCACGTTTTGATTGAAAGGCTGTGATTGGCTCTGTAATGAGAACTGTAAAAGAACCACAAAACCCCCAACTGTAATTGAAATGCAAATTTGTCTTTTAATTTGAGATGCTTTTTGTATTTTTCCACTCTAAAAAAGTAAACCTCACTATTGCTTAGTTAAGAAATAACTTCTACCGGTAATTAGTTTCACTTTTAATTGTTTTAGAGTTATAAACTTCTAAAACTTGTAGGCAGTCAGACCTGGAGTTGGCTGCTGTTGCTGGGTCAGTGTGGCAGCCATGGCGACCGCTGCGGCGTTGGGGACACTGGAGAAAGGGGTAGGGCCTGTTGTCACTCGTGGAGTGTTTTGCCACTTCCTGTTGGATGCACGTTTGGACTCAAAAACGTCAGTCGAGTCTTCCAGGAAAGCCCGTCGGTAGGAAAGATACTGATGCTTTAAGACCTATGACAAAAATCACTTTAAGAAACCCTATGGTATAACATGTAATGGGTGGAAGGGAGAAACTGACCTTCACATTTTCATGGACACTTTGGAGTTGGGCAGCCTGTGCAACAAAAGTCTGATATAATTTTTGCATAGCCAGGGTTAAGTCTGCAAAAACAATATATACAAACAAGGTGACCATTAGTGACATAAAAACACACTTTTTGAGCTGTTCATTTCACATCTCTATACCCTGGGGTGTAATGTGAGAACCACTGCCTTGTGTTGTCAAATGATTTTCCAACTCTTCAATTTGTTGTCGATACTGCTGCAACTGTACCTCAAACTGTTCAACAAGGCTATGGAAATAACTGAAAAAGAATTGTTTAAAAACATAAAACAAATTGTATTTAGCAGCAGTGTACTATTGTGCAAGTAATCAAACTAAACTATAATTTGTGGTAGGTCACTTACTCAGATGGAGCAGTGTTTTCATGTTGAAGTCCAGGTGGAGTTTTTTGTGTGCGCAACGCTATGTCAGCATTCTTCAACTCCTTCAAAAAAAAGGACAAAATAAAGCATTGGTAAACAGTAACTTAAATACTGCATGTGTGACATTGACATTTACCTGTGCAGTTTCTAATTTTAACTTGTCGATTGCCAAAGCCTGGCGTTGAAGACCACTGGAGCTGACTGACAGGAGCTGTTTAAGGCTCTTTATATCATCCTGGACTTTAGTAATGGCTTTTGAGGACATTCGACTAATGTCCTCCTGAACTTGTTTCTGTTCTTTTACGAATTTCCTACAGAAGTAAATGCACAAAATACAAACATTTTAGTTTCTGGGGCTTGTGGTAAATCTAATAAATACAAATTACTCCCAATACTTACTGAAAATTCTCAACATCCTGACAGATAAGTGGGGGAAGATTCTCATCTTTTAAAGCTTTGCTGTCCCTAAGAAACAGATATTATGAGATTTAAAATTTTTAGAATAAACAAATGTTTTTCCTTAAGACATACTGTGCATTGACTCCAGAAGATGTGTCATTCTTATTTTCAGATGAAGTGCTGAAGTCAACCCCACCAAGACCTATACTTGGAGCAGGTGCTGCTGGAGCTGTTGTGGAGGTACTTAAAATCGAACCTAAGGTTAGTCCTGCCCCTCCGAGTGTGGTTTGTCCCAATCCTATAACATAGAAAAAGAAGATAGTTTAATTAATAATGATCATCTTAAAAATTTAACATCTTTGTGATTCCAATTGTAACTTCACCTGTTGAGGCTGGATTTGAAAATAAACTGCCCCCAAGTGACGGGACAGTTGCAGCTGCAGTGGCGGTAGTTGTGCCAAAGCTGAAGCCTGTGGCAGGCTGTTGTGGAGCAGTGGAGGTCAGTATGGAGCCAAAGGACAAACCTGCTCCTGCTGGGGCTGCTGTAGAAGTGGTGGCAGGGGTGCTGAGAGAGAAAGGAGTCGCTGAGGCAGTCGGCTTGTTGAAGGCAAGGCTAAATCCAGTACCAATAGATGTCGTGGCCGTGGTACCTGAAGACAAAAATGTGTGTCAGTGATGCAAACAATGAATTCTTTCAATTTGTCTGCTTTTGTTTTTGTCCATTTGTATTTCAAACTTTAAATATTTTAATTGCTTTAATTGCAATTTACAACAAATGCCAAGCAAAACAAAGGAAATAAATATAATTGTCCGGTTAATGTTACTTGTTGCAGGTGAATTAAAAGACAATCCTCCAGAAGGTTTCTGACCGAAGAGACTGCCTCCAAGGCCTAAAGAAGGGGTGCTGGTTGTGGGAGCCGGAGCTGCTGCTGCTGTACCCAAAGCAGTCCCAAAGGTAGTACCAGCAGCAGGTGCACTGAAAGGGAAAAAAGACGAATCTTAAATGTTACCCATACCATTTATGCACTCATTTACCCCGTACCCACTACACAATGTGACATGCAGCTACTCAATCAAGTCAAATATACATGCATAAATATAACATGTGCATAAGTGGCATTTACGTATTCCCCGCAATATAAAGAGTAAAGAAATGTTTATGTTCCTCCAAACACCTACTAACATCTATGTTATGTGCTTGTAGCGTTAATATTAGTTTACCTGGTAACAGGGGCACCAAAAGAGAATCCTCCGCCTGTGGTCGTGGATCCGAAATTTGCCGATCCAAAGTTAAAGCCAGACATTTCGAAGATAGTTTAACATTCAATAACTGGTAGTGAAGAACTTTAAGCCAAACGTAAGGACGCTAGAAGAGAAACGGCATCTTGGCTAACAAGCTAGTTACTAGTTAGCATGGAGAGATCGGCGCATGTGGGCCATTGCTGCGCTTTCGCGCAAACGTTATCTTAAAACAGATCAGACCTAAGTCTTTTAAAATATGTCAAATCTACACTTGTATACTCATAGAATCGATGTATCTAAACAGCACAAATCAGTAAAATGTGTAAAACAATCCGACGTCAAGGCACTAGCTTTCGCATGGTTTACTTTTCCTATTCCCCGCCTGGTTTTCCCCAAGCGCATTTTGGGTAATCTACTTACAACTCCAATTCCCGACATGCACCAGTGTGTCGCATGACATCACATGCAGTTTCCGTAGATTGGATGGATGTGATTATCTAAATACGTTTATCAGATTTACTTTTTCTTCTCTAATCTGATGTAAATGTGCGTGAAAGTATGAGTGGTGTTCAGAGCTCATATGGTGCCAGTTCAGAGCAGAGAAAGAAAAACATCAAATTAAACCTATAGTTATGGCGTAACTTTATTTTGAAATCGAGGAACCGCATGTGTTACGTTTTTGCCACGGGCTTAACGCGGATGGAGAATGAAAAAATAATTTGACAATAAACACATATCAGCGGCCTTCGTCAAAGTTCAGGGGGTTCTTGCAGAGGCTCTTTTATCAATGATACACGTTTATCTGGACAGCGCCGCTTGAAGTTTTATCACCGGTGACAGCTGTTTTGACTGGGAAAATGGAGCATATCCGAACGCCAAAGGTAGCTAACATTTGCAGCTAATTTAAGTAGGCTGGATAGGCTGGGTACAGACATTAGCATGGTACAAACCGGTTTTTTTAACCTCTGCAATCTGCCTTTCATTCCAATTGTCAGTACTTTGTTTATAATCAATCTTTAAATAGATGTCATCGTGGTGACTAGCAGGTGTAGAAAACAAACTTGAGCGTGATGAGCAGCATCATCATGGGGCTGCTTGTTTCCTTCTGCCAAGGAAGCTTAGATTTCGATTTTCTAATGTTACAGTCTCATGCCCTGTTGCCTGTCAACAACATAGCATTTGATTCATGTCATTTCTCTCACAGCATCTATGTTGACACAATTCTGACAACAAATGTGTGGTCATTATTTATTCAAATAGATTTTATTGCACTGTTATAAAAGGAATATAAAAATGAGGACATACTGTTTATACACACATACTGTTTCTGATGCTGTATGATATTAATCATAACATTCCGTAAAGAGCTTTATATAGCATTATGGCTCATTTACATTACAAGTAGACCATAATTGGTAGATGTTAGTCAATACAGACGCACACACCTACAGATTACATTGAATGTACTTGCTTGCTTCATAATCATGACTTTGGTCATCTGGCTTTTCTTGTTTGTACTTTGTCTGCTGGAAAAGCAGATAAATCAGAAAAACAATATATGAAAAATGGCATTGCCAAAATAGTAACACTGTCAAGCACCGTAACCCTCCACAAATATAGGTATAGAATGTGTCTTAAGTCAAAATTCTACTATCATAAAAGCTTTATTGGCTGTATCGTATTACAGAGCTACGTTTTGCAAATACATGTATTTGCATAGTTGTAGACAGAGAGGTTTCTGTTTTTCATCATATCCGTAACAGGCCAAACGGAAGAAGTCCTCAGAAGGAAGGGGATGTCTGACTCAACAAGAAAACCACTGTTGTGGCAAATCATAGATTTGGTACTTTGCTCTAATTACATGTATATCCTTCATGACCCCAGACTTCTGAAGTTAATGTTTTTTAAAAACATGTTTTTTCCTTCATTTAATATTAGCTGCCCAACAATAAGCCTGCAAGTCGCTGCTGACTTCAACTTTCCATTTTCTGGCTCTAACTTGTGACTTTGATAAATGTTTAACTAAACCTTTATAACCAATTTTACAAGTGTGAAAGCCAAACAAAAGTGACGTGTGGCCAAATAAAAATATGACCGCGCTGTAGCTTATAGTATTTAAATGTAAAAGTAATAGCACATTTAAAATCCCAATATATCTTAAGACAAGAGTAATAAATACTGTCATGTTTGTTGTGTGTGCATTTGTGCAGGTGGAGCAGGTGCGACTGATGGATCGCTACAGCAACAAGTCCACAAATGGCACACTTTACCTGACTGCAACACACCTGATTTTTGTCGAGAGCTCCAACAACTCCTCCACAGCTGCACAAGAGATCTGGGTGAGAAGCATTTCTAAAAATACATTTCATTGTTTTCTGGTCTTATGTACACGTTGTATGTTACATTTATTTTCTTTTTCATTGTCAGTAAATATAATGTATCTAATTGTGCTCCTCTATTTTAGATTTTGCATCACCACATAGCCTCAGTGGAGAAGTTATCCCTGACCACCACAGGCTGCCCCCTGGTCCTCCAGTGCCGGAACTTCAGAGTTGTTCATTTTGTTTTGCCAAGAGAACGAGACTGCCATGACATTTATAGCTCCCTGCTGCGTCTATTACGACCTGGTCTCTATATTTCTTCATAAAAGCATATTTGTTTTACTGTTGATCTTGTAAATAACGATGATAATAATTACCTTCTGTTTTTATAGTGTCTTATGAGGAGCTCTATGCGTTCTCCTACAACCCCAAACAGAATGACCAACAGAGGGAGGAGGGCTGGCAGCTGATTGATCTGAGGGCAGAGTATGAGAGGATGGGCGTCCCTTGTGACCAGTGGCAGCTCACTGATGTCAACAGAGATTTTAAGGTCAACATTTCTAAACTAGCAGTATCAGGACTTTACCAAATTGTGATCTATAATTTAAAATGCACAAAGATTTAGCATGTAGTGACTGTCTGAACTCATAACTTCTTATCTTATCTCCTTTTAGGCTTTATGGGCTTATGATCAGTGTTACTAGGTTATATATAATAATTTTGTCTTGGCTCTCTTGCAGAAATGTATGAGGGCACTAGAGGGCAATATTTAACATGTATAAAATCACTACGTGCTTCTCAGTGATTACATTGTAGTAACATCCAAAGTTATATGTATATTAATATCCTTTTTTATGTTTTATTTTGCAGGTGTGTGAAACATATCCACGGGACTTGTATGTTCCCATTACAGCCAGTAAGCCTATCATTGTCGGGAGTTCCAAGTTTAGGAGTAAAGGACGCTTTCCTGTTCTCACGTACTTTTACCAAGAAAGGAAGGTAAATCCATCAACATTGGTAATATTGGTAATATTTAAATGGTGTAGCTGTATTCATCACTTGCCTTTGTTCTACTTGTCAGGCTGCAGTGTGCCGGTGCAGCCAGCCTCTCTCAGGATTCAGTGCTCGTTGTTTGGAAGACGAGAGCATGTTGCAGGCCATCAGTAAAGCCAATCATAACAGCAGATTTGTCTATGTCATGGATACCAGACCAAAGGTTAGATACTCCAGACTGATTACGCCTTTGGTATTTCAAGTGCATAAAATATTTTCTACATGATGTTTTTTGCAGTTAAATGCATTAGCAAACCGAGCAGCTGGTAAAGGCTATGAAAATGAGGACAACTACTCCAACATACGCTTCCAATTTGTAGGCATTGAAAACATCCATGTAATGAGAAGTAGCCTGCAGAAATTACTAGAAGGTAATATTATTAAGCATTATAATAAAAAAATATATACATTTGTTATTGCATGTATATTCTATGAAGCCATGCAATGTTATTTGTCTCCTAATTTTTATGTATATTCTATGAAGCCATGCAGTGTTATTTGTCTCCTAATTTTTAGTGATAGGTACACGGTCTCTTACTATGAGTGATTACCTTGTGGGTTTGGAGGGCTGTGCGTGGCTACGACATATTAAAGCCATTGTTGATGCAGCTGTATTTTTAGCCCAGGTATAATTTATATTCAATTTTACAATCTACAGTTGGAAATATTATAGTTGATATCATTGTGGATTATTACATTATTTCTTCTCTCTTACTGTGCAGGCAGTGACAGTGGAAGGAGCCAGTGTGTTGGTTCACTGTTCAGATGGCTGGGACAGAACAGCCCAAGTCTGTGCTCTTGGGTCTTTGCTCATGGACCCCTACTATCGAACCATTAAAGGCTTTATGGTAACTAACACAACATGTTTAGACTGTGTTAAAATCAACTGTATGCTACACATCTACTGTTGTCTACATTAGGTACTGATTGAGAAGGACTGGATCTCCTTTGGTCACAAGTTCGCTGATAGGTAAATACTACAATTATAAATAAGTTAAGGTTTATTTTGTGTGTATTTTTACATCAGTCTTTGCCTCTCTAGGTGTGATCAGTTGGATGGTGATCCAAAGGAAGTGTCACCTATCTTCACACAGTTTCTTGAATGTGTCTGGCAGCTTACAGAACAGTTCCCACAGGTATACAATTATATAACAATAAAACACATCTCAAGCATGATATTATTTATATAACATATTATATTTGCAATTTACATATGTATTTGCAGGCATTTGAGTTCAGTGAATGGTTCCTGCTGCAGATTCATGAACATGTCCATTCCTGCCAGTACGGCAACTTCCTCGGGAACAATGAGAGGCAACGAGAGGAACTGCAGTGAGTAGTGAAATATTCCTTACAACACATTATGTTATGTTGTGTTCAAAATTGCTATAATTATGGTAACAGTGAAGTGAAATAATAAATCATCATACATTTTTAACTAGGTTGAAAGAACGGACTCATTCATTGTGGGCGTTCCTCCTTGGGGAAAAGCAGAATTACTTAAATCCTTTCTACAACCCTGTTTACAATGATGAACACCCTGTCCTGGAGCCCTCCACACTGCCCTACCATTTTAAGTATGTCAAGTGTATGCTAGTGTTGATCCTTCTACTATTGTTGGTCATTAACCAACTTACTGTGTTCACAAAGGTTCTGGAGAAACATGTACCACCAGTTTGACCGATCCATGCATCCACGACAGTCCATTTTAAAGACTATTTTGACTCTTAAGGAGAAAAGTGCTAAGGCAGAGAGCACACTACAAGCTCTGGAGAATGTAAGTGTGCAATTGACATTTTCTTTGACCACTAATAATTAATTTACTCATAAAAAATACAAAAACATTATAAAAACAAATAAAACCGACATGTAAAATGTTAACTTTGGTACTATTTAATTTCCTCCCTGCTTTTACAACTTCACTAAATTACACATTGTACTTTACATGTTTGTTGTGGACTAATCATTTAAATTATTTTTTATTTAGAGACTGTAAAACTTGAGAATATCCTTTTGTTTTTCCCCATTGTAGAGGCTCCATCAGCTCGGCGTGACCCCTGTTGTGACCTCTGACCCTCCTGCACTTCCTCCTACGAGAGACCAGCGCTCTAACCCCAACGCCCTCCCCCCTCGCCCCGACTCTCTCATCCTGGGGGCGCCCGTCAACCACAAAGAAGAGCAGCGGCGGGTTGAGGAGCAGGACGAGTTGGGCGAGGAGGCGCTGGAGAGCACTGACACAGAGAGGACAGTAGAGGGCAGCAGTGGGACAGAGAGCAGGAAACAGAGCTACGGTGAGTTAGAAGGGACATACAACGAGCTGGCTAAAGAAGAGCCAGGTGTTGTGAGTCTGGAGTTTGGGGTGGCACGCATGACCTGCTGAGATGAAGTCCAGTGGGTTTTGAAAGGACTTTAGAGACCAAGTTAAATGCTTACTAAATGTGTGTATAGATGATTATGTCCTGATTACGCTGTGGTCCTCGATGGGCTGATTGAGTGAGCTGCATTGTTTGTCTGTATAGTCTAAATCTATATGGAAAAGCATCATTATGTCATATACTGCACCCTTAGGAAAAAGCTTGTTTTTTATGAATGTTTAAGAAGCACTATTGAAAATTAAGGAATATCAGACAAGAATAAATCCCTCTTGAAAATCGAATTTGTTTGTGTTTTATTTACAAGCCTATTTGCGTCATGTTTCATGTTCTGAGAATTCTATACTTTGTTCTTAATGTATTTGACATTAAAATTAGTACTTGGTATCTTGTGCAATAAATACAATGTGTTCTTTATGATAATCTGATTTCCCATTTTCCATTGATCTAATAATCTGACAAACTAATGCTTTGAGCTCCAAATCAGATTTTCACGTAATTGAACCACCAGCCAATTATTTATGACAGCTGACCCTCTTTTGGAGACAACACTGTCAGTGAGAGCATTGAAACAACATTTAATTTACAGTATAAATAAAGTATTATTGTTCTGAAAAGATGGTGGATCATAATGGGATTTTGTTTGGTACAGGCATGTATTTTGCATCACATTTGAAAGGTGTTTACACTCGCTGTTGGGATGTGGGTGTGACAGAGGTAGTTTGTTTATTCTGCAAAGGATCCACATTTGCTATGTCTTAAGCCAGTGAAAGATTTAGCAAAAAGCTTTCAGATTTACATCTTGAGCTAGAGCAAACTCAATTATCAGAACTCTGTGTGGCGTGTGTGTGCGTGTGCATGCATGCGTGCAAACTCAACAACAATAACTGCTATTCATTTGCTGCATGTGTATTTTTAATAGGGCTGTTTGTACTGTGGAATTGACATTGAACGATTTTGCTCACACGCCATTCTTGTAAGAATAAATGGTTTTCTTTCATAGTTTCCAGATGCACAACTCTCATCTATTTGTGAATAAACAAGGTATTATATAGCTGCTACAAGTTTGAATTGAAAAGATCTCATAAGTCTTGGAGCGGACTTGGTTTTGCTTGGTTATGCAGGTTCACTGAGGCTCATTTGTCACAGCACAGCCCCGAGTGTACGAATGAACAAGTAGTGAAAAAACAAAGTATGTAGCCACAAGAAAAAGCAAATATTTTATCCACTTCTTTGTCTGGTGATTTGGCAAGTAGCTTACTATTCTCTTTTACTGTAATGCTACCCTTATGTTCTGTTTTGAATGCACCAGTAGCTTTTAGTTATTCTCGAGTTGTATCTTACCTCTTATAAAAGATGCAGAACACTCCTCTCGAGACAAGTAGGTCAGATAAAACAACACATGGTATGCTTTCCTTTAGTAGCTTACATCTGAATACACATGCACACATACTCCCAGTACTTTGAAATACATGATCCTTTGCATACATCTGATAGAGGCAATGCGAATGAGAAGAAATTGGCAGCTTTAATTTTTATGTTTGCTGATTTGTTTATTTTGTCCGATTCTGTCAAAAATGTGGACAAAATATTAATCTACAAATTTTCATTTTCATTCCGTTTTTTGATAGAACACAATGTTAATAAGATATTTTGAAAATGTTTCAGAGATTGATTACACATGAGGAAATTGTACAAATACAGCCATATAATTTCTTGTTTGATCAGCACATACATGAGAATACTTAACTTACTCCCAGGAAACCTGTGTCACAAGCCTGGGCATACCCTGGTCTAACCTCCCCACCCGATTAACAAACAGTACACACAAGGTTGGGAATGTACTGCTTAAAAGGGCATAAACTGCTGGGCATTGCATTGTGTACAGAATTTGTTCAAGGAGTTTTCAATGTCAATGTTGACTGAACTGATTGAACCTTTGTAGAGCTTTGTCCAATAACTACCCTGTATACAGTAGCACAAATAATGTTTAATTTGTATAATTAGTTTATAAATTTTGCTATTGTACAGTTTGATTTTTACTACCTTGTCAGAATTGGCAGTCTTATGTACTATGAGGAGCATGGGAATTACAACAGAACATTCCTTGTGTCTTCTTGTTAGTATTTTTTTATATGATTTTATCTTTTGGTTTGAGCTACATTATTTCAAGGTTTCACAAAATACACTTACATTAAAGATAAGTAAAAAACACACAAGACACTTGCATTAAAGATAAATCAAATGCCACATTACATTTACTAAAGGAGCCAAATGTTTAAAATAAATTGTACTTCTTGATTTCTACTTTTAAGTCCTATAATATTTTATTTAAAGTAGCTCTGCTCCTACTTGAATGCAAGCCCTGACAGTTATTCTAACAATTACTCTTAAATTACCCACCACCTCTTGTGAAAACAAATAGTTCGTGCTTTGCATTAATGGAGTTTGAATTCAGGCAAATCTGTATACAAATGTGACTTTCAAACACCAGTAGAACACACGTGCTCCTAGGTATATCTTTATTACTTGACCACTATAAGGCACTCATCAATATGTGCATCTTGAGGCTAATGTGAAAGAGCTAAAAGCACGATCAGCATACACACATGAACAAAGTACAGGACTGACTCCAATGTTAGGAGAGAGAAGACGTCCTCTAACTGTCCCACTTAGAGCTCCACTCAGGGGGGCGTAATGGAAACCCCATTTAGACAGATGGAGAGTGGCTTCGATTGTAACAGGGTGTGTGTAAGTGTGTCAAATGCACTGTTGAAAAGTAACTAGATATTTTTATTTTGTTGGCGTACATTTTCGTTGAGTATATTTTATAAGTACAAAGTAAATAATTGAAATGTTTACTATGTAGGTTTGCCATTCGTTTTATGTTATTAATAATGAATTATATTGATCATTACCATTATATCCGCAGCAGTCATATTGTATACAGAGCATCTTTTACAACATATAAATGCAATAAGGTCTACTGAGATAAAACAACACTATCTGAAAATGACCTTTGAACTATTGTGAATTATATATTCAGTCACTAACATTGTGAGTAAACAAAGTAACTGGATGCTGGACCTCTTAGTCACAGGCACAGGTGGCTCTGGCCATGTTAAACAGTAGACCCCCACAAGCAGTTGGGCATCCATTGTCTCATTATGTAGAAACTGAAGCCACTCATGAGTAACCTCTGCCCAGTGGCCATCTGCTCCACTGTCATCCTCAAGTTCACCCAGTCAAACAGCCTACATCCAGGGTCCCTTTGCTTTTGCACATATTACTGTGGAAAGAAAAACAAATTTTTAATATTTATACCCTTTTTTTTAACTGCAAAAACACCACCTAATGACTAAATGTCTGGGAGGTAAACATTGACATATGCATTGTATAGAGTATATGTGTGTGTGCTTGTCTTGGACTGGTGTTGTGGGGTGCCTGGGTGGATGAATACAGACATTGTTTGCTGAAGTTGGGCTGGAGCAATTGGAAGAGAGAAAGGAGTTAGTGAAGGAAGGATGGAAGTAGGGGAGAGGAGGAAGAAAGTGGGTCGGGGTACCAGGGAGACTAAGGGGGGATGGGAGGTAGAGAAAGCTGTAAAAAGAGCACCCAGTCTGGATGAAATACTTCTTGGTTGGCTATGGGCAATCTCATTGTTTAATAAAATCAATGGCATATTGATTTAATTAATATAATGGTTACCAGCATTGACATTTGCAGAATTAATTGTGTGAAGAACTCTAACAAATGGCACTACCTCTGATGACTCACTATTTATGTCTATTCTTAATTAACATATGTGATTTAAACAGAAAATAAAGTGTAAACTTGAGTGGAGCCCATATGGGGAGCTCAAAGCCATATGGCAGCTTGTACTGTATTGGAGGCTGTTTGGAGGTTGTCTGAGTTTGTGCCAGTGCTGAAGCACTTATAAATCCATAATCCTCTGATACTGCTGATCAACAGTCTTTCATTGACTCATCTAATCCACACAAACAAATGTATGTCTAGGCAATACTGGGTCAGGGTACTGCACATGATTGTGAATTTACAAGGTGAAATTTGTAAGTTCTACTGTTTTAACATAATCTGTTACTGAACTAGAAATTAAGTCTTTGTCTGTATAATGCTGTATATAATGAGACAGACTATATATTATTATTATTGGATATATTATTAGTTATTAAGTTAAGGTTAGTGTGTACAAGCCAAAATAATATTAATTAAAAAAAAAAACACTAAGAGGTGGGAAGGAGGTGCACAAGTTAGATATTGACGAACAGTTGACTACAACAGAACAAGTGACAGGGAAGGTGGGGGGAAAGGGTGGGGGAGGGAGTGGAGGACAGGCCTGGAGCCCCGCCAACACTGACGAAAGCTGCTTAGCCCACCCAGTTGCTATGGATACAGTGAGGAGCAGCACCCATGTGAGTGTTGGTGCTCTAGGAGAGGGAGGGAGAAGCAGAGATAGAAAAGCAGTGGGCAGGCGTAGGACCAGTCAGAGTGGGAGTGAGAGTTAGAGACACAAGAGGAGAGAGGGAGCGTGTCTGGAGCGGCTGCAGAGAGAGGGAGAGAGAGGGAGTGAAAGAGCTGAATAATGGAGGTGCAGGCGGACTGTCTGGAGCCCCCCACGGCCCCACAAACAGACCCACAGCCAACGGGAAGAATCAACAAAGCTGCCTTCAAACTCTTCGGACGGAGGTCTACCGGCTCTGGAATGGCAAGCTTTTTTTCTTTCCGAAACAAAGGAGCTACAAATATGGGAAACAATGGAAATTCAGACAATGGGAGTTCATTGAACGGGAATGGATCAGCTGCATCAGTGGAACTCATCAGGAGCAAAACACACGATGGGCTAACAGACACTAACAACGACATGGAGGCACGGCCAGGGGAGGGACATGGCGGCATGGAGGCGGTACCCGTGAGGTCTCTGAGCAAATCATTCAGTTTCTTCTCTTTTCTCAGACGTGGGAGTTTTAGATCAAGTGACAATGGAGGGGCGGGGTTTGTGCGAAGAGGGAGGGGCCTCAAGGGGTTCTTCAGCAGCATGCGATGGAAGCGTAAGGAAAAAACAATCGAGGGAGATGTGGAGGAGAAAGATGGAGGTACAGAGAAAGCTCAGGAGATTGCTGAATGTGAAAAGGATATCACTCTTACTCTTGAGCCCCCTCCTCCACATCACGCCCAAGAGGACTGTGGGAATACAACAGAGGAACCTGATCATCATGCATCAGGAACCACCACCACAAGCGTTACCATGACACCCCAACACTGTGTTGCATTGCCAGGCCCATCTGGTGTGCCAGACAGCAGCTTCCCTTTCACGCCCACTGATTCGCCTCTTCACCCAGCCATACCCAAAACCAAAGCCTCCATTTCCAGCCTGAGCCCATCCCTCGCGACACCCCCACTGGACCGCTGCAGCACAGGCGACCCCCCTTCAGAGCCCTCTGTCGATCGTCTCTGCTCCTTGCTCTTTACCGATGTCACGTCCCTCAAAAGCTTTGATTCACTCACAGGCTGTGGTGACATTATTGCTGATGCAGAGGAGGAAGGCCCAACTGGCAATGGAGGCAGCGGTACCAGCAGCAGCAGCAGTGGGGGCGGAGGGGGCAGTAGTAGTGTGAGTGTGAGTGTGAGCGCAAGTGCAGTTACAGCTCCTAGTATCACCTGCAGTGCCATGACTCGAATGTCCCCATGTAAACCTCCTGTACTTCCTCAAGTGACCCAAGTCTATTCCACAAGCTCCATGCCATCTTCGCTTACAGCTCGTGTCAGAGCCCCAGATTCACCTCAGCACCAAAATGGAAGTGGGATAGTGGCGTATATGGGTGGCGGAGAAGAAATGGCAAGTCCAGAAGGAGTGGATGATGCCGACATGCAGGGGCTCTGGCACATGCTTCCTTCAACAAGAGAGAACTCCCCAGCATTACCCCGCTCATATCTACCGACTTCTACAACCCCAACATCCACATATCCACCTCGCTCTGCGTCCAACCCACCCAGCGGTCACCTATCATCAGCTGGGAGAAGCACGGAACGAAAGGTACCCCAGGTCAAAGCACTAGGTCTTAGTAAGATCCCTGTTGTTGGCGGGGCAGGTGCTGCCAAACCACCTCTACCACCTTCACACAATCGCCATCCAACATCACCAGGTGAAAAAGAGTTGCTAAGCGATGAGGGTTACTGGGATACCCCTTCAGCCACCCCCATGGCAACACCGGACGAAAGCAGAGAACAAGCTAACCAGAAAATCACCCTATCTCGTGACAGTTGTTCAGGGGACCATCTGTACGACCTCTACAATGACCCAGAGGAGGAAGACGATCAGGAACTCAACAGTACCCCCTCTCCATCATCTGAATACAAACTCAGCCCCACTTCTCAAACTACTCCACCATCCTCTTCCTCATCTTCCTCTTTTCGCTCAGTCAAAGGCAACACCAGCCTTTCCCGGGAGTCCAAGATACCAGTTAGTTCGAGACCATTGTCCCCACCACATTCAACAAGCCAAGAAACAGAACTGTCTCCGCCAAAGACCCAAGCACCTCCTCCGGCCCGAACACGAATCCCTGTTTCCAAGTTACCTGTCCGTCGTTCTGGAAACACACCAGGCAACCAGAAGTAGCACCCACCAATGAAGTCTGTCTTTCTCCTTTAATTTATGATCATACATGTACTGGGCCAAAAGTTTCCCTGGACCTTGAGAAATACTGAGTTGTGGAGTTAACAGGCAGGAAATTCTTCTCAGATATTTAAAAAGTTGTTCAATGTATTTGGGCTTTCTGAAAAGAATAAGAGGTTTTGTTCAATGAGAAAGTCACGAGAAGGTTCCAAAAGCTGGGTTAAATCTTCAAAGCTCGCCCTGGAATTCTGTAGGCAAAGATATAAACATGCAATAGACAAACACTGACCTTCTAACTTGCAACTGGAAACTTCTGTCCTGCTAAGAGCTTGACAGCCATTTTGTAATCTTCAGATTAACAATGCACACTGCAACAAAGCAGAGCACCTTTCAATACTTAACAAGGTTATAATTTGCCCACAAGGACCTAACCTAATCAAATATTTACTTTTTCTATTTCTGCGTTCCTTGTGTAATTTTTTCAAACTCTAACATATAACAAATTACCTCCTAATTCTCTATTATAGCCAAAGTTGAGAAATTGTCAGCTTTTACTAACTACTAGCACTACAACGACAGCTTTGGACATTCTATATTCTTGGTCCTAGAAGACCGCACTGGTTAAATTTGCGTGTCCCTGAGATATGGGAGGAAGCTTGTTTAAACTTGTTGGAAATGTCTCTTTCACTGTAAAATGTGGCATGCTGCCTTTGAGGAATGCCACACAAACTCTCTCTATGGGGAGGTGAGGCCTTTGGTTAATCTTTTTACTTTAGTTACAATTGGTTACAGGCTGGATCACAAAATACTACTCTGGGATTAAAGGATTATCACTGGAAACTGTTGCAATATGGTATTTTGCACTGAAGTTTCATAAAACAAATATGAGTTTTGTACATTCACTCAACTTTTCCCTCCTGCATGAAAGTTACAGAGGTTGAAGGTCAACTTCTCAGACATATGCTGTTTTGACACTGTCTATGTAGCTACACTGGACTTTTTATGGACACAAGCAACTTGATTCATGATCTGATAATATTTTATGGCTTCACCAACTGAGACTATATCAACTTCTTCAAAGTCAAACATTTTCTGGCTATTTTTGTTTGTTTTGCTTTTTGTTCTGAGTTGCAATCAGTGGACAGGGAGACATAATCTGTAAAGCCCAAACATATTGTGAGGAATGTAAATCAAAAAGCTGTTTTGATAAGTGAGCCATTATTTAAAGGCCTACAGGATATGCAAACAAAACATCTTTAGCAAGACTCCATTGCGGAGGTGAATGTATTTTAGACAAACCACTACCAGCTTAGGAGCTAGATGAAGTTTGGGATCTGTTTTAAATACAAACATTTTCCTAAATATCCTGATAGAATGCCTTTAAAATCAATAATATAATGCCATTGTGCTGTAATGCCCCAGGTAGTTTATAATATAACAGTCCTGGAAGCTACTTTAGGGATCTGAATGTAGCTTGACAAAGGTCTTTGTAGGTTTTAGATATGTTTGTTTTTCTTCTTCCATTAGTCCATTTTGCCAAAGTGAAGTCATCCAAGTCACCATAATCAAAACATTATTATAAAGCAGTTATTCTCTATACATTCACTCTCTCAGTTATAAAATTCAGTGCATGGTAAATATGATCACTTAAACAAACACAGGTAACTTCTTTCTAATTTTGTTTATTGTTTTCTTGACCTATCATCAATACAAAATGACAAAGAGTTTAAAGTATCTTTGTAAAGATATGAATGGTGTACAATGACACTTGATGGACACTTGTTGTTGTAAAGGCTTTCTGTCTCATTTTAAAATGTGTTGATTGATCCATGGCAGGGTTCAGATGTCTCTTTAGCCTCCTTGTGGTGATGTATGGGGTAGACAAGTGAAACCTGATCCTGAATGGACTCAGACAAAGAGGGTTCAGTGAAGCTAAATAATTGTGCTTTTCCATTCACAGACATATAGTGTTTGAATAACTGTGATCCTTTGAATGGGTACAGGTGTAACTACAGGGTGCAAAACAACAATCAAATATTTACATAATCATACTTTAAGTTCCCATTTTCTCATTCATAGAAATGCAGAAATATTCTCAGTACATTAAAAACTGGACAAACTGTGATCATATGCACTAAACTTCAGGTCTTAAAAGGGGAGCTCCTGGATTGACACCATTGATACGCCAAAGTAAAATAGCACTTATTCTTATTGCTTTAGTTCAATTTCAAGATTCATCTCATCTGTTGCTTTCAATGGCATCAATCACAGAGCTACCCCATTACTACCAATAGGCTGGAACTTCATTTATGTTATCTGTCCAATGTGTCCATAAAAGCACAATTTGTTTCTTCTAATTTGTTGCGTTATTGTTTGCATTTCCTCTTCTACATATTTAATGAATAAAAATGTATTTGAGCTAAAAGTCTATACGTTATTGCCATGAGCCCAAGCATTGTTTAATTTTGGCTTTTAACAAACCATGTGGCTACTATTGTGTAACTGTTTAAGCCAGATGCCCCTCCTGATTTAAACTCTCAATTTAGTCTCAGTCACAAATGGTCAAAAATAATACAGCTAGAATAATACCAAAGTAAATACTTTTGTCACCTGATTTGCTTTTTAAAATTTGAATGATTCAGAAGTAAACAGGAAGAAACTGATACAAGACATATGGCGCTTGTGGCCTCAATGTGGTTGTTGTTATGCACTTGGAGTGAGATCGACTAGGCTTAAAAGAAATGGCTTTTCAATACAATGTATTGATCTTTGCATGTAAGAAAGCAGATGTGTCCTTGTCAGCTTCTTTCACATGGAGGAGAGCAGGTTGAGTGTAAAGATTGTAGCCTGATGCACTGCTAAACATACAGTACATGTGTTTGATACATTTATTACATTTACATGTAACTAAAGATAGAACAATGTGTTTAGGGATAGGATTTGGTGCAGTGCGAATCCCCCCTTGTAATGGTGCAGCAATCCCCCTCTCCCCTCCTTCCCCCCTTTGCTCCTCCTCTGTTTCTGCACGCCGAGGTTTATGTAAAATCCTTACGTAAGAGAATAACGCCGTGCGGAACTAGCCCACTAGATCAAAGCTGGCGATGCTCTGTGTGACTACATCCAGCCATTAATCTGCTGATGCTACAGGCTGCTTATGAACAGTCCGTGTCATTGTCTGAGGTCATGTGCAAGTGCCTGTTTTGGAGGGCTGAATTTGTTTTTGATCATTTTCATTTTAAACAAATAGCTGCTAAGGCCAAGGGAGATTTACACAGGGAAATGAGGAGAAGTAGTGCACCACTTCACAAACCTCAAGTGCTGCCATATGACTTCACTTCAAATGACAGATGCCTTTGAAGACAATGTTATCAGTATACATGTCTGTACATAATGACGGTACTTAAGGATCATGGGTGTCTTAATTAATTCACTATAAAAACTTAATTGAGATGATATTTTAGGTTTGTAGCATGCTCTTAAAGGAAGCTACGCTATAAAATGTCTATTATAATGGTTTCTGTGGCAATTTCTGCATTTCAAATGACTTCACATTATTTTAGAAAACAGAGCATAGTTCACAGGAAGAGAAAGGAAAAGTGTTTGGATACTAATACTATACACAGTGATCAACTAAGACTTGTTACATTCTTTCTATATATTATATATATATATATATATATATATATATATATATATATATATATATATATATATATATATATATATATATATATATATATATATATATATATATATATATATATATATATATATACTGTATATAGTTCTTTGAAAATGCCAAATACAATATGTCAATTTGGTACCTGCACTCAATGTGAGAGTGACAGATTTGATTGTAGAATCTGATAACAAATATTATTATATTATATTATATTATAGTATATTTTACAATTCATTAAAACATAAAACTGAAAAGCCATGTTGCACTCCTCTGTCTTCTATAGTGCATAAAGCTATTAGGATTAGTCTAAGTACTGCCTGAGAAAACATTAAATGAGTCACTTTTCTGGTAATGTCCGCTGACAACATTTACTGTATTTTCTAACTGTACATGACTACATAAACAAAAAACAACTACAATGTATGGATGAAATTAAACTGGTGTTTCATATTTTTATCATATCTCCACGATGGCGGCCGTGCATAAGATGGCAGGAGTTTGTCAGCTTACAGCAATTTAATATTTCATAAGCGTGAACTGCCTAGTAACTGGCATCTTATCTGACACCACTGCATCACATCAGGCACTGAGACACGTCAGATTTTTAAATGTGAATGTGTGAGAGAAAGAGTTTCAAGCACCATTCAAAAGCCTGTACCCCACATTTGTGCATGGCAGCCTCACTGCTCTGGTTTCCATAGGAACCTCAATAGGTCACCCAATCAGAAGAGGGGGGTGGGCCAGAAAGGAGGATGGGTGCTGATGTTTGGGGGTGGTGGATGAAGACACTATAAATGTGACTTTCATGTAGAAATGTGGAAAAATCAACAATTTGGAGATTTCTTTCCAAAATTCCAAAAGACTGTTGGAGAAGGTACCAAAGTACTATTAAAGGTGCACTGTGGAACTTTCTGGGGGAGGGTCTGCCGTCAGCTTCTCTCTGTGATGATGTTATTGCCTTGTCTGGAATATTCCACAGTATGGCATTAAATGTTTCATTCTTGCATTCATTCAATTAAAGTTGTTTTTATTGTTCAAAAATACCTTGAAATACATGCGTTCTTACTGTGAGTGGGGTCACCTCTCCATAGATTTAGTCTGTAACTTTGGCTGGTGATGTTAGATGCTGGCTTTTATGAAAATGGCCTAGTCTAATACCGTATTGTGGCACATTCCAGGCAAAACAATATCATCTCCATGGAGACAAGTGGTGAGCAGATCCTCCACCAGAAAAGTTACACAGTGCAGTGTACTTTAAGTATTTCTCTGATTTGATTTTAAGAAAATATCAACAAACCCTGCATTCTTTTTTAAAACCATTGGTTCTGTTGTGACCATTGTCCATCCACTTCACTGGCTATGAGGTCATACTGTTTGGACCTAGTAGCTCCCTCATTTGTCTTCATTTGTTTTGTGCATTGCATTGGATATAAGTACTTAGAATTAGTGGTTCAAATAATACTACTTTCATAAAGATGGGCTTTACTTGCACTTTTCTTGAAACGCAGATAACTACAATATACTTAACAAACCTCCTTTTGTGGCCAAACAAAGCCCAATCTTGTCAGATCTCAGAAAATGGGCAGGGACGGGCCGGGTTAGTACATGGATGGAAGAAGAAAATCAGGTGCCACTGTCAAGTGCCAGTGGTCATTGTGTCCTTAGACAAGACACTTTATCCACATTCTAGTATGAAAGTGGTGTGAGTCTGAGTGTTGGTAGTGGTCAGAGGATCCAGTGAAGCAGGTTAGCAGCTTCTCTTTCGTCAGTCTACCCCAGGGCAGCTGTGGATACAATACCTTAATACCACCAGGTATGGTATGAATGAATAGATGGTTTCTGGGCGACATCACAGACAAGCTGCGCGCACAGCCATTTAGCAAAAGATACACAGACAGCAGCATTCCTCACTTTACAATGAGAAGTTGT